CACACACACACACACACACACACACCCCCACCCCCACCCCCACACACACACACACACACACACACACACACACACACACACACACACACACACACACACACACACACACACTTCTCCACCTCATTCTGTTTTCATTTACTCGTTCGTTATCTGACCAGCTTCAATCTTGTTGGCTACTCACTTCGTTTCTTGTAGCCCTCGAAAGGGTTTTGGAGGTTGATGCCTCGGTGAACGTGAGTTGTTTGGCTTTCTTGTCCGCAGCAGCAGAAAGCATTTTCGAATGTTTGAATGAATGAAAGTGGGTCGTCACCGTCGATTTTCTCTTATGCTCCAACACACAGTTGCACGGTGTGAGCTCCACACGTTCACTCTATACAGTGTTGTTTACATTCTGTGATGCGCGAGCTGAAGACGAGTTAACTTTTTTTCCCCTCAACTTTGTGTGGAAAAATGCGGGGATTATGAGGCCTTTTGATAAATATGCGGCCTTTTAAAAATCTGCGCCATTTTGCTGATCATGCGGTAAATTCTGTGATCGCAGAATCGCGTTTTTCTGGAGGGTCTAGTTAATGAATCGAATGCGTGTGAACGGAAGCCTTTTTTGCGCTTGCGTATGCGTTTTACCGTATGCGTCCTTGTGGGGCCGGGGTCTAAGCCAAACTATATCCGGTCACAGAGATCTGCTATTTTAAAGTAAAGTCAACACATATAGACCCTAAATATAGTCTATATTAAGAACGAGAAAAGTCTTAACATATATATCCTTTTTTGTAAACATATGACAAATGTGTGAGAGTGATGACGTCAGAGCATCGTCCTATGTGCCAGGGCTTAGCCCCGGACAGCCCCAGCCCAATTTAAACCCTGGGTATTTGTGAGGGAGCTCCTATATGGCATTACCCCGCTGAAGCTCACCAAAGTTTAACATATTTCATAGTTCAAAGTTTTGTCAATTGTTTTGTTTATTGGTAAAATACTGGTTTCTAATGGTTTCTGAGGAGTTTTACTGGAATGAAAGAGCACAGAGTACAGAAGCAACAAAGCAGCATACTGCATTAAACCTGACCTTCACAGAGAGGTTGAAGTTCATGTGGAGAGGAGGCTTCAGTAGTCTGTCTGCACTCTGTTTAGTTGTGCTATCTTACAATCAATATAGTAAATGTGAGGTAAAGTGTGTAGCCAATGTAACCGGTTAGAACTCAAAGTTGCGATGAGGTCTTAAAATGTATGGAAAGGGTCTTAAAAAAGGACTTAAAAGGTATTAAATTGGACCTCAGGATTCCTGCATATACCCTGTTAATGTTCCCCTGCTCCCCTCAGACGACAGAGCGTGAGCGGCTGCAGGTGGAGCTGAGGGAAGCCAAGGACAAGGCCCGGCGGCGCTCCATCGGCAACATCCGCTTCATCGGCGAGCTCTTTAAGCTCAAGATGTTGACTGAGGCCATCATGCACGACTGTGTTGTCAAGCTGCTGAAGAACCACGACGAGGAGTCTTTGGAGTGTCTCTGCAGGCTGCTCACCACCATCGGCAAGGACCTGGACTTTGAGAAGGCCAAGGTGAGGAGGAGGAGGAGAAGATAGGTGATTTATTGTATTAGCCAGAAATGATCAACAGTTCAATGAGACAACTTCATCCCGTTAAAGGGAAAGTGTGCCTTTTTTTCTTTTGATGTCTAATCAGTTTTGATCAGTTCATAGCAATACATTCCTCAGTGCGTGCAATATTCACCATGAAAGCTGAATTTGAAGCTGCTAAATCTTTTAGTTTTGTTAAACAGAATGCTAGTTTGGAATGCAAGTAAGTTGTTGCCAAAAGCGAAAATGTTGTCCTAAAATATGACCTCAGAGGATGTGATGGATAAGGATAGATGTTCCAGTTGTTTGGCTGACTTGGACATTCAGCTGTATTTACTCTAGCCAGAGGATCAGCTGAAGAAATGCAGCATTAGCATTAGCTGTGCCTGTGTATACTGATGGTGGGAACCGTCTTTGCAACAGAAGCTTGTGCCCAATGCATCATGGTACATATCGGCACTGCTTCACACGCAGGATAACTCAGCTTTCTTGGTCAATATCTCACAAACTAATTTACTCCATTTACAGTCAACACTGAACGGACAACCTCATGACAAGTGTGGACATTTCCTTTTTATCTGGTCATTTTCTAAACATTGACTGTTTTAATGTTAGGCCATCAAAGTGAATATTGGGTGTACATTATGGCTGGGTCAGTTCTAGTTCCAGTGTAGCCTCTGCTCTGAGTTCAGGCGGACCAATCTGTCAGGTCAGTGAAATCGTGTGGAAATCCCTCAAACAGCAAATGAAATATAGAAAATAGCTTCATGTCTCAAAGTAACCTCTTATCTCTCTTTCTTCAGCCTCGCATGGATCAGTATTTTAACCAGATGGAAAAAATCGTCAAGGAGAGGAAGACGTCTTCTCGGATACGGTTTATGTTACAGGACATTGTAGACCAGAGATTGGTGAGTTTGTGAGCGTTGTGATGTCTGTTTATGTTCAGGTCAGCTCTGGTTCACGATGAGGTTTGTTACATTGATCTCTCTGACCTCCTGCAACCTGATATTGAGTATTCTGCTCATATTCTGCTATAGTCTACTACTGCTCTTGTTATTGAGTTTCAACACCTTTTCAGAAAGATTGACGGGGAAAAAGAACTGTTTAGTCAAATACGCTGTAGAACCTCTTACAGCTGAGACCTATTGTGCTTTTGGGGTATTTCCCTTTCCTGTAGTGTGTTATATAGATTTCAGTGCATGTTAATGGTTTGCAAAGGCTACAATTCCAAAGTTCTCTCTCCCACACAAATGTCTTCTGTGGACATTGTATTTAATATGTCCTTGTAATGATCTTGGAAGCAGTCTGTTTAAAGTATAATGTCAATTTAAAAATACAAAGCTACAAGAATGACAGCTACAGATGGTATGTGCCTTACATCTGATGCATTGTTCCTCCTTATGTAACAAAATGTACTTAATTTGTCCTGATTAGTTCAACTAAAAACATGGGTATTTCCTGGGCACCCAACAGAAGACGAAATGAGAACGAAGAAAAACTGATGAAGAGGAGCAAATATCTTAACCTCCTTAGTTTCGTGTAAATGCATTTACATTAGAGGAACACCTGCATTGTAATTCTCTGACATTACACAATCTATTGGAATCAATATCACGGGGTTTTTCTCAATCTCGAGTACTCTTGCTTGGCAGCACATGTCTTCCGAGTCACTTGCTTCAGAAGCGAGGCAAGAATACTACCTGGCATTCGGAAAACAAAGAGTGGAACAGGCGAGCAAGTGTGCAGGTGTGCGTCATATGAGAGGCCCCGCCTTACATTTTCCGCCACAGATTTAGGGAAATTGGTCCGTGCGCAAAGCATTGTGGGGATTTTAAGACCGTGGAGTCTACAAATGTGCAGCCTCGAAATGTATCCAAATGAAGTACGCCGGGCTCTGTAGCATTCCAAATATGCTGGACATTGGAACAGCACTTCGGCGGCACTCGATGACGTAGCATGCTTGAAATAGTGGCTCTGGAGCAGCCTTCCTCAAAATTGAGAAACATCCAGTGTCTCCTTCAAGACGCTGTAATCCCAGTTTGAAGCCCTGCTGTGCTGCAGTCTGAACATCAGCATTCTGCATTGAAACGCATATCCATAACCAATGAAGGCTTGACATCTTTCAGTCACTTCAGATCATTGGCTCATTCATCAGTCTTAGAATTCAGATTATTCCTCTGCACTTGACACTTCATGTTTCTGCGCTGATATATCTTCTATGATAATACCCTACATCCCCCGATGTTTACGGAATGATCTGGACTCATTTGAAATGGCTCTGATCAGGTAAAGGACGTGTTGGAAAATCTGACACTCCTGTTGATTACTGTTCTTATTCTTCAGCACAACTGGGTGTCCAGGAGAGCCGACCAGGGCCCCAAAACCATCGAGCAGATCCACAAAGAGGCAAAGATTGAAGAGCAGGAGGAGCAGAGGAGAGTGCAGCAGCAGCTTCTCTCCAAGGACAGCAAGAGACGGACAGGTCAGCCCGCCCCAAATCCCCTTTAAGGCTCACAGTGCTATCGGCACGGCTACAGCGAGTCAGGAAGCCTCTAACATACAGACACACTTCCTGTCCATGCAGCCTGCAGAGATGCTATTGTGCCCAACAGCAGACAGGAGCCCCCCCCCCCACTCCCTCCCATCTGTTAGCAGGCCTTTTCATGTTTCATCATGTTTAGCACGAAGGGGTCAAAAGCGTCACATTGTCAGCTGTCTTTCAATGAATTCAAACGCTATTAGATTATCACTGATTATTATTTAATACAAATATATTTTATATATACTTCTGATATGCTGAATTATCTTTTTATCTTAATACAATTTAATCATGGAACATAATACTAGAACATGGGATGTGCTTAATTTGTAATTGAAAATAAATAAAAGGACGTTTTCTCGTAAATATAAATGTTCTTCCGCCAAATGTACCAAAATGAGTTTGCAGAGGCACCGTGAAGAAGGTTATCATGTCCATTACAACATCACATCAAATCTGTCTTCTATAGATGGGCAGACTGGATTAAGCCATTCCTTGTAGTTGCTTTTCTAAACAGCTCATTTTTTTAAATAAAAAAGGAATCCAAATTCCTTTTAAGAGTGTTTTACATGTCCGTGTGTCGTAGATCCAAGAGATCAGAGAGATCAGAGGGACCAGAGGGATCAGCGAGAGCAGCGGGATCCGCGCGTGCCGAGAGAAGAGACCTGGAACACTGTGCCCGTGACGAAGAACAGCAGGACTATCGACCCCACCAAGATCCCAAAGATCTCCAAGGTGAGACCAGCTGCTTCTGCTCACAAAGATTCAAAAAGTAGGACAAACACACCTCTCTTCTAACGTTGTTTCACTTTGTTGTATCAGAGGAAGCCCAATTATAAACTCATCAAATCCATCAACACTTGAACAAAAAAAGTCTTGATGTGCCATTTTTCATGACACTGAGTCTCGGTTGAAGGCTGTCAGCTCTGCCTTGTAATTGAATTAAATCTGTGCGCTTGTTCTTCGTGTCATGACAAGTTTGTCTCACCTTCATCCAGTGTTTTTCCACCCCTGCACCAGTGGTGGTGGTTGTTGTTGTTTCAGTAGAAAAGTGTCTGTATACAGCAGATAAGTGTTTATACAGCACCGAGAGGAATCCTGTGTACTCGAACACTGTCCCTGCCCTCATCTGATCCACATCATTGTGGTGTATGTTCAGTTATGCACTCTCCCTCTGCTGGAATCATGATGAACTGCTTTGTAAACAAGACCTCCCTCTGCAGGAGGAATTTCACCATGCTGTCAGTGTTAGTCAGAAACACTCATTTGTCTTTTATGACAAGTCATGTTATATGCTGCATAGTGTTGTCACGATACCAACATTTTGGTTTCGATACCAAGTCAAGAATTGCGATTCCGATTCTTTTTCGATACTTTTCTTTTATTATTTTCATGATAAATAAAATTGTAGTTTATCTGTTAAGTTTTTTCTTACAACATGGTCTCTTTCTTACAACATGGTCTCTTCAAACATTGTTTGTGATTTATTTGATAGTTAACTTTATATTTTATTAACATGTAATAGTACAGTAATATAAATAATTATTGACAACATGTACATTGCAGATGTTAGCCACATTGGTAAGTTAGCTAAAAATATATAGCTATATTAGACAGTTATTGCCATTAATTGCCTCGTCAAACTACGAAAACGTTCGTTTGTCAAAAAATAAATTACACTTGTTTGACTTAGATTTGAGGGCATGGGCTTGAGCATGATGTAATTATGTTATCTATCACATTCGCTAACCTGTCTGTCTTTAAATTCTTTAAACAGCTCTGGATGCCGGTCGGCGAGGTGCTTAGCCAAGTTTGTGTGTTGGCTCCCTTGGTTGCAGGGATCTAAAACATGTGTTACAGACAGGCCTCGTGGTGTCCGTAGGCTTGCCCTAACTGTCAGAGATATAGCTAAAATACTTCCAAATTTAGCTTCTGGCGTCTTTTTTGTCAACAAGCCGAGGCGCAGCGGCAGATGCACTCCCACTTGCAGCCATGCTTCTCGTTTTCTCACATGGTCTGGCAGCTAGCGCGTGCACGAGAGAGGGGAGGAACTTAGAGCGTGCTTGGGATGGGAGGGACTGCAGGCACGGCTGCAGTGCAGGGAGTGGAAGCAGAGCGCTGAACACACACGGCTCTTATTAAAACAGCGCTTTCTCACCGGAGAACCTTCCCCCGTCATTCTTAAAGTACCGATACTAATGAAACGGAGGAATCGTAAAGTTTTTAACGGCAGGGTATCACGGTACCTTTTCAAGTATCGGTACACCGTGCAACACTGCATACTACTGACTGTATTTCTTCAATCAGAGTACAAAGTTTAGGCAGATTGTTAGGATAAGGTATCACATGCAATCTTTATTTACACACATATGTGTATTATTTATGTCTACTCAGACATAATCATCTAGACAATCTTGTAGGTTTAAGTCGCATATCGTGTCTGAATTGAAATTATTTCCTCACTGAAAGGATATCCTCATTCGCTCATTCACTGAAATGATTTCCTCATTCGCCTTTGCTGTCATTTTTCCACGTCTGCTTGCAGCTCGTTCTTAAACTATTCTCTTCCTGCAGCCTCAAATGGATGAAAAGATCCAGCTCGGCCCCCGGGCCCAAGTCACGTGGGTGAAGGGCAGCAGTGGAGGAGCCAAGGCCAGTGACTCAGGTAAGATTATCTGAAGCAAGACCACAGTGGCTCCAAGCATTGCAGTAGCAGGAACTGGCAATCTTTACAGGCCAGAAAAGACAATGAATATTATATTACATTACATTTAGCTGACGCTTTTATCCAAAGCGACTTACAATAAGTGCATTCGACCAAGAAGATACAAACTTGAAGAAAACAGAATCATATAAGTACATCAGGTTTCATAGAGCTAAAACATTTCAAGTGCTACTCAACTAGCTTTAGATAAACCAGTCCTTTATTAGTATATAAGTGCTTCGTTAGCAATTCTTTGTTAGTAATTCTATCGCTCGAAGTGGAGTCGAAAGAGATGAGTGTGTGTGTGTGTGTATATATATTGATGAAAAACAGTATAATAAGGGACCTTTAAGATAAGTCTACAGCTGTTCACTCATTCACTAATTGTATATGAAGTTAGATATGTGTGAGTTAGAAGTTAAGTGTGTATTGTAAAGTATTCTTCGATGTCTCACCTCCTTCAACAAGCAAAAGGAGCAATGGGAGGTAAAAAAAAGATGGAGCCCGGTTCATCTTAGTTGCTGCAAAAAAACAAAAAAAACAACAGAGATGGTCAGTACAGGCCATAAACTGGTAATAAAGAACAAGAGTGTTCACTCCTTGGCAGCTGAGGTTTGTGTAGGACAAATAAATGTAGGTCTTGCCGCTCACCAAATATCCAGAAATGATCAACAACCTTTGAGTTTGTAGGTGTTATAATCAGAGTGAATAATATATAAGTTAGGAAACGACAGGGTTAACTTCTTTTACATTGCATGGCTACTTCTTAGTTACTCAGTTGAAGGTACTTTTTCAATTTATTCATTGGAACTCCAGTCAATAATCATTCGAATAACAACGATATTCATTTAACATAAAATCTAGAAAGCTGTCTCACCTTAAAAGTAAATAATCCACACACCGGCACACACACTATTCTCATACCGCGACATACAGTAAAGCTTGAGAACTCTCAGGCCTCTTTTATACTGTAGCCATGCCTCTCACTCTCATATTCCCTGCCATTGTCTGCCATATTTCTAAGTGTCTCTCACACACACACAACAGTCTGACCTAGTACATGTTTTTTTTTCTAAACAGCAGTCTTCTCTTTTATCGTGCTTCTCTTTCTAAGGCTTTTGTTTTCCTAGATTCAGCCTATTGTCCAGCAGTGGCGAAAAAGTCAATCTTTGCAAGGATGAAACCCAACCAGCTACAGCAAAGGTAGAATACACTCAACAGACATGTCATTGGTGTATCCAATGATGTTACAAGATGCAGGACAAATGCAGTCTGAGGATAATATATTCTCCCCCTAGTGCACTATCAACCTGACACGTAGCAGGACACAACTGCGGTTAGTCTTTATCTGAACAAGGAAAAACGTTTTGTCAGAGATCCTTCTTAATTGGACTTATTTAAACATGTCTTCTGTACTTCGGTTTTCCTTCGGGGGACAACATAAAACAATTGAGGCAAGTAGAGCCAAATCTGTGCAAAAGCCTTGACCGTTGTTCACGCTGATACGTCTCATACAGCGTCTTGTGACTCCTGTCTGCAGTGTCATTCCTCCTATCTCACAGACTTTTCCATCTCCCCCAGGTGTTTCTCTCATTTACTTTCCCAGCCGGTAGTTTTTTTTTCCTTCTTAGTTCCAACACACAGGGGTGTTTGGTTTGTAACTCATAGCCTCCATGCAGCCTTTTTCCCAAGTCATTCCAGCTGTTTGGGTGAAAGGTGATAGTGGCATCGCACTCCCTCAGGTGCAGTATACTGAGATGACAGAGGAGGCCTTTGCGTGTGTGTGTTTGTGCATGGAGAAGTACTTGTTGCCGAATATTGTCAGTCAGAAATGTAGTTGAGAGAGGTTTATGTTTAAAACAATCGGACATGAATGTGTTTCTATCTAATTAAGAACATTACATTTCCACAACTGCTAAATGTGGTAGATACACTGAGCAAAAATATAAATGCAACACTTTTTTTTTTGCTCCCATTTTTCATGAGATGAACTCAAAGATCTAAAACATTTTCTATGTACACAAAATAACCATTTCTCTCAAATATTGTTCACAAATCTGAAAAAATCTGTGATAGTGAGCACTTCTCCTTTGCCGAGATAATCCATCCCACCTCACAGGTGTGGCATATCAAGATGCTGATTAGACAGCATGATTATTGCACAGGTGTGCCTTAGGCTGGCCACAGTAAAAGGCCACTGTGAAATGTGCAGTTTTGCTTTATTGGGGGGGTCTGGGTGGGTCCGAAAACCAGTCAGTATCTGGTGTGACCACCATTTGCCTCACGCA